GAGTGTTCCAAAGTAGTAATAAGTGTCATATGATAGCAGAAATTGAGAACAAAATTTACATACATATATACACCAAATCTGAAACAAAAAGAGAATGCTGAAAAACTAACATATTTATATTCCAAAAATGAAAGACTAGAATAATATTAGAAATCTATATATGCATCTCACATTATTAATATAAGAAGAAGCTTTTGACCATTTCATTAGATGTAGAAAATGTATTTCATAATATTTAATGTGCATTCATTTAAAATCTTATTATTTTAGAGAAACATTCTTAACCTGAAAAACATTATAAAAGCCTAGAGAAAAAAAATCACAGTAAATGGAGACATGTTAGAAATAGTTTTCTTTAAATCAAGGAGGTTGTAAGGTTTCTCATTACAACCATTTCTTATAAACACTGTTTTGAATATCATGGCCTGTGCAATAAGGAAAAAAAATAAATTCACAAAGATAAAAAAATAGAACACATTGTTATTTGCAGATGATTATGAAATTTCCAAAGAATATATTAGTGATTTTATGAAACTACTAAATAAGCTTAGAAGGTGGTTATATATAAGTTAAATATAAAAATCACATACACATCTACATACTAGACAACTTGAAAGAAAACAATTAAAAGAAAGCTATTTTATACTTCTGATCAACATCCCCTGCATTTTAATGATAAACACCATTCTACTCTACTTCTATGTATTAACATTTTAGATTTCACATATAAGTGACATCATGTAGTTTTTTTCTTTCTATGTAAGACTTATTTTACTTAGCACATGGAACAAATTTGCAGTTATGTAGAATAAATTAGTCTAGAGAACTAATGTACAGCAGGATATACATAGTTAATAGCAACATAGAAATAATATTTCTTTATTGTCTACCTTTTCAGAGTTTGAAGTTTATATCATACATTTACTTTTTAAAAGCATTATGTGGGCAATATAAGTGTATGTGTGTATATATATATATATATATATATATATATATATATATATATATAAACATGATAAAAAGGAAAATACAGATAAAGAAAAACTGATTTGTCTTACAAATTGTATCATTTCCTGCCTTTTGCTCCTAAAAAATCATTTGGTCTGAATCTAGTCTGACAATGTACATCTTAACTAAATTCAAATTGAGCAGTACATACTATCACTGGTGATTTTAGAGTAAGTTTATCTTAGCTTAGTTTGATGATTTTAAATATGTACCTTGGGTAAGGGGATGAAAATTATTTGGCCATAGAAGCTCACTTTGTATATGATTTTACTTAAACCCAATGGTATCCCAGAAACTAGCAGCATTATTAGGCTGGGATTAGACCAAACACTCCAGATACACATAAAGCTGGTGTTTTCAAACTTCTGCAAGTAATTTTGAGCTTAAATGAGCTCAGGAAATTCCAAAAAGGGAGACAGAGGTGGATTTTAAAGCACCCTTATGGCATCAACAGTAAATTTAAGAGTTATAAAATTACATAGTTTAATTTGTTTTGCTTATTATTAAAATAATTCAAATAGATGAAGAGACAAGACCTTTATAATTTCTGATTTATGTTGTTATTTTGTTAGCTCATCAATTCCTTCTGAAGAACAACTAATAGTTGGTATAAAAAACAATTGGAATAAAACAAGTAGGCATGTTTAGTATGTAACTGAAAAAAGGACAGCTTCTAATTTCATCCATTTCTGACAATGAATATATCAGTAGCTAAAAACATACTTGTACTTTAACACAGAAATTTATTGTCAAAGTCAAAGGAAAGCTACCCATTTTATGTACTCAAATACATCATAGGTTATGTATTTTACATTCTGTTGTATTTTTTAAATTGTGCTTTTAGATTTTATGAATACCTAAATTGTTATGTGATATTATATTTTACTTTAGGGCTGTAGTTGGGAATGTACTCGGAGAGTGGTGAAAAAAGTAAAAGGATGTGAACAAGTTAGAGAAGACGACAGAAAACTTAAAAAAAAATACATAATTATCTCCCAGGTCTCATATGTAAGGTAAAATGTGAAATTTAAGTAATGTTATAATTATTTTAGGCAAAATATGAATGCATCAAACAGCACAAGTCCTCTTCACACCACCATTCCTGTTTCACTCAATCTACATGCCTGGGTCCTAATATCATTTGAGTTTGGGATTTTATAAGTGGACAAACAAAATAATATTTGGATGTTATTTATATTGCAAGTAAGTGTGATATCTTGATTATGGTAAATGTTCAACAACAATTTATAAATATAAATTAAATATGTAGTAGCTTATTGTCACTATGCAATCAGTTAAGCATTTGAGCAAAAGTAATGTTAAGAACATAAACAAAATATGGCTGACCTCATGGTGCAATGGTGGTGCATCTGACTCCAAAATATGCTACAATTCCCCCAAATCAATCAATAATCCTATATACTGTTCAATATTTCTCATAATTTTATTTGGAAAAGCATAAAGAATGAAAGCTTACATTGATTCAGAAATGAAGCATTAGTAGATGATAAGTGGAATTCAGGGAAATTCTAAAAGAATATTATCTCTTAAATAATTTAGTATAGAAGTGAATTGGGTTTAGGGTGATAATCTGTTTGAGAGATCTCAAAAATGATAAGGTATAATTTAAGGCATCAGTGGTCTACTAATTAAAATAGCAAGGCAGTGTTACTACTTGTTCTGAACCTAAAATCGTATCTATTTAGTAGTTCCTTTTTTTTTTTTTACAAAAATAAGAATGTGCCAGGGTATTTGGTTCTATTGTGTGCTTTCTTCATACATCACAAATATCATCTGATATACACATTTACTAAGAAAGGATCAATTAAGCAGAGCTGATTAAATGAAGTGTACTAATATGCAATGATCTTAAACTACCACAGGGTGGTAGGAGATTCACTTTCCACAACATTTATCTAATTGGCAGAACTAACTGCTTTGCTACACTTCTACCACATTCAAATCCCTTATTAAAAGCTATATCATTAAGTGTTAATAAAATTTCAGAGGCAAAATTACACTTAAGGTTATGCTAAACTTAAATTCAACTAAAGAGAACAAGTATGTATATATGAATTTTGTTAATTTGCTTATTAGCCATGTTTTTGGGGTTTGAGTTTTTTTTTTTAATATAAAAAGCAATTAATCTTTAATGATTAATGTAGGGAAAGGTCATTGAATACTTATAATAAACTTATCATATTATTTCTGTTGTTATGCCATTTAACATAATATAAAGAGTATTATTTGTGTATTATTTCATCACAGTAACTCCCAATATGGAAATATACTTGTATATGTTATTAAATCAGAATTTTAGAGTTAGAAAAGGTTTATAAATATATGACCTGTTTTTATTTTAAAGATATATAAAATAAAATTAGGATAAGTTGCAAAATCACACATAATTTTTAGAAGAAATAACCTAACAGTTAAATTTGCATAATACAAGTTGTTTCTTGAGCTGAAATAATGCATATATATATAGTCATCTAGAGATTTTTATTCTTATACTTAAAGTTTCTGTAGGAGGAGGCCAAGGTGGTGGAGTAGAAAGACTCTCATAGCTCACCCTCTCTCACAAATGCACCAAGACTCACATCCACAGACCCACTCAGCCAACCAGAGCTCCTGCAGAACTCTGACAGAACATCATCCTCTTCAAAAGACAGAGATGCCAAAAATCTGGTAGGAGAAAAGGGAAAAATAAAGTAGAAAAGGCAAAACAGTGTGGGATGGGTCCCACAGGGAGGGAGCAGCAAAGGAGGACTGCGTTCATTCACTGGATCTCCCCCCTCCAACCTAGAGGCCAGCGGGACAGAGGGGGAGACTTTGAGGCTCGGATCTGTACAGAGCAGCCCTTGCCAGACAGAACTAAGTTAAACGGGTACAGAGGGTCCCAGCAACACTCAGACTGAGATGCGCTTCAGCAGCTGGGGGCTGGGCAAGGCTGCCCAAGCCGGGTGGAGGATGGGGACTGCTGCACTGAGGAAACCCCGGGGGACTGCAGGGAGCTGCATACCATTGGTGTGGGTGCACAAGGCAGAACAACCTAGGCCCTCCATAAAACAACATGGTTGATGTGCCCTGGGGGAAAGGGTGCATACCCCAATCTCTGAAAATCCATGGAAAGTTTTCAGGTGAAGAGAGGTGGGGCTCAAGCACAGCCGCCACATCCTCCAGCACTTAGCACCCATGTAGGATTTGGGGCGAACCTGCAACCACAAAAAAGGCCAGACAGAGACTTGTCTACAGCCAGAAGCAGATAGGATCTTCCATCCTGATCCCTCAGAGAACTTGCTCCACCAAGACAAACAAGGAACTGTGTATTGGCCCAGAGTAGGGGTGGGGCTGTTTCTCAGTCTTCCATGAGCCCACCTACTGAGCATGCAGCTGCACAGAGCTGCAGAGTGACCAGCAACTGGAGAGGGCTTTTGGACACTCGCCTTTCTGGCAGGAACCCAGCCCCTGACCACAGTGATAGGAGGGGCTGTGAACTGCCCTCCTACCTGGCCAGTCTGTAACATCTGACTGCAGCATCAGGAGGGGCAGTGACCTGCCTGCCCACAGCAAAGGAGAGATGCACCTGACCCAGTGTTGGGAGGGGGTGTGATCTGCATGCCAACAGGCACTGGGAGCAGCACAGAAGGCGTGAATAGAGGGCCTCTGGAAACAGTAAGCTGAGCTTCCAATACAGGGTGAAGACAGAAAGACTTCACATTAAGAGCACACAATTTCCGGGAGAAAACCACCTCACTTTTTTTTTAAATCTGTTTTTACCTGTTCAATTTTCTATTACCCTTTTAATTTTTACTTCTTAAACCATTATATATACTCCCAGTTTTAATCCCTTTTAAATTTTGTAAAAACTATTTTTATATTATTCTTTTTAAAAATTCATGGCATTTCATTTTTATTTCTCTTGGTTTTGATGTCCTGTTATTGATTATACACCAGTTTCAAATAAATTTTCCCCCTTTTCTCCTTTTTTAAAGGTTTTAAAAAGACATCTCAACCCAACTGCTATTCTGATTCAACTTGCTCTTCCATTATACATTATACACTGTTTTCAGAACTTTTTTTTTCCCTTCCTTTAAAATTCTTTCTCTCTCCCTCCTTTTGTAAACTGTTATTCCTATATAGGCATTCGATAGATAAATAAACTCCATAAGGACCACAAAAATAACTGATACTCCAAAAACCATTGTGCCAGAGAGGTATGAGCAAGACGAAGAAGCAGAAAAACCATTCTCAATTAAAAGAACAGGAGAAATCCCCTGAAAGATCAATGAAATAGACATCGATAGTCTACTAGATCAAGATTTCAAAAAAGAAGTGATCAAAGCACTGAAGGAACTAAAAGAGGTAATGTTTAGAGATATAAAATATGTAAAAAATGAAATGGAAGCTATGAAGAAGAGCTAAGTAGAACTGGTAAACTCATTGGCTGAGATGAGGAATGATCTAAAGGCTGTGCAAAGCTGACAAGATAATACAGAGGAATGAATTAGTGACCTAAAAGACAGAGCAACAAAAAGCACCCAATCAGAACAGCTACAAGATAAAAAAATAAAAACAAGCATGACAATTTTCACATAATAGGGGTCCCAGAAGGGGAAAAAGATCAAAGGGGACTGAAAAGGTATTGGAAGAAATCATGACTGAAAACTTCCCAAACTTAAAGAAGGAATCAGATATCCAAGTACAGGAAGCTCAGAGGGTGCCAAACAGGAACAACTCAAATAGACCCACACCAAGACATATCGTAATCAAGATGGCCAGACTCAAGGATAAAGAAGGATCATAAAGACAGTAAGAGAAAAGCAAAGCATGAATTACAAGGGAACCCCCATTAGGCTCTCAGTTGATTTCTCTACACAAATATGACAGGCCAGAAGGGAGTGGCAAGATACATTCAAAGTCCTGAATGATAAAAAGATGCAGCTTAGGAAACTTTATCCAGCAAGGCTATCCTTTAGGGTAGAAGGGGACAGAAAGAATTTAACAGACAAGAAAAATCTAGAATAGTTTAGCAACACTAAACCCATGCTAAAATAAGTATTGAAAGGTATACTCTAAAAGAAAAGCAGCAAGATGCTACATAAATAAGACACTCACAACTAGAAAGGTGATAACTCATGAATTACAAATAAGCATGAAATTGTAAAAGAAGACATCTAAATCATTGGGAGAGGGGTGCAGGAAAATATAGAATTTCTTTTTCTTTCTTTTTAAAAATTTTGTTCTCAGTAGGATGAGTTTGAGATCATGTTACTATCAGTTTAATAAAAACAGTTATACTAATGGGTTAATAGACACAGAAAAGGGTAACCATAAGCCAAAGGTTTACAAAGGAGTCACAAAAACTAAATAAAATCCATGATAATACAAAGGAAAATTACCAAACCACAAAAAGAAGAAGAAAGGATCAAGAGGAAATACCAAATCAACTGCAAAGATAAGTTCAAAATGGCAATAAACACACATCTATCATTAATGACTGTAAATGTTAGTGGACTAAATGCTCCAGTCAAAAGACATAGAGTGACACACTGGATAATAAAGACAAGAACCTT